TAGCAGTTTGTAGTTCTGATAAGAGATGGGAAAAGGAAATGATTCTTCATTTTCCTTCCTAAAATTAAAGACCACGTCTATGTAAGCCCTTCTAGAAATGAGCAGGAACAGAGCAGCTCGCTGTCTACAACTCACCTGGTTTCCAGCTTAAGGCAACGTTTGGATACTAATATTTTCTAAATGTTGTGTCTGCAAAACTGGGTGATGGATTAGAAAAGTAACTTATTTTCCCTTTACCATATGTCAAGTTTTTCCTTTATCTTGCACGTTTTCACATCCTTTTTTGGATACTAATATTTTTCCTGTTAATTCAGTATTAATTGAAGGCTCTGGTTTTGTATCTGTGCACATATGGCAGTTCTCAGAGTACTGGCTGTTAGCTGGGATTTCACTGGCCCACCTCAGACCCAGACAACTGATCTGCTGCATGTAAGGGGAAAGGCAAATGAAGTACCACAGGAAGATGAGAATGAAGGTCACACCTGAGACACCTTCTCTCCCATCTGCCAAAGCCCACATTAACCTTTGCCAGGACCTCACTACATTAGCAGTCATCCTTTCTTGCTTGAGGCTTGGGACTCATTTACAGAAATAGAACTTTCAGGGTCACTGTTTCCCAAAGTCATGAGAACTTCCATGTTGTGCAAGGGAAACCTAATTATTTTCTTTCTCTGACTCATCAGTGGGTCTCTGAATGCCTCTGGTTGTTCAGAAGTGCCTTAACATTTCCAGGCTGGACTAGTTCATCTCCACAGTTTGCTGTTAGAAATAGCAAAGATGTCACTTGTCTTAAAATATATGGTCTGCTGTTTCATTCCTAAAGGTGCTGTTATGCTAACAATAAATCTGCAAGAGACTGCAGGCAGAGCGTGGGATGTGATGTATTCAATATTCATCATGCTGTGACCCAAAGGAGTATCAGGACACTTTACATCAGGAAATTTCTCTCTCTAATTTAGCAGTTTCAAAATGATGGGCCAAAATACAGCCCGGGAGGTTGCCGTTGCATCTTCAATTGAATTTCATCCAATAAGCCAAAAGATTGTAAAAATATAATTACTGCCTCATTTCCAAAATGAAAGTTCAGACTAACTGGTTTGCCTTTTAATACTTATCTTGTCTATAGCTAATTTTAAGTGCCTGACAGTTTTTACTGACACTTTCCTTTTTCATTAGCTTTAACACTGGAAATTCCAATTGCTTCCTTCTGAGATCACCAGTAGAGCAAAGGACAGTTGCAAAGGCCATATCTGTATTGAAGATTATATACTTTTGAAGCACAGAAGCCACCAAGAATCAGAGAAGAGGGAAATCACAACAGCCTTTGGGAATGGGAAAGACACAAAATTTGGATAAGCATTCCAGGAAGAAGAGCAAAATTGCAGAAGTGTTTGGGAGATAGCTCTCCTCCTCTTCCTGAAAGGGAAGAAGCCTAGGAGAAGTGACAAAAGGAAACAGGGAAGCTGGGATTGAAGCAGTGAAATCAATGCCAGAGTGGGACTGTAGCTATGATGCTGTGAAGGGAGCTACCAACAGACTTATTTGTTCCCCCAGCATCATATATTTAGATCAGCCACTGGGAAAATCAAATAGCATTTGTTTCTCTTCTCCCTGAAGATCTCCAATCCATACTTATATAAGATCCTATGTTCCTAACTTGGGTAATGGAAAGGGATGGGTGAAAGGCTTTTGTAACATATATATGATCAAATTATTATTTGCATTGCAACATTGAACATAGCCCTATAGACAAAGGAGGGAATGGAAGAACCAGAGAGACAGACAGATGAGTCACACACAGTTGCATGGGCAACCTGCAGCAGATCCAGGCATAGCTCCCATTTCTAAATAACAGCCTAATGTGCATCTGGGCTATGCTTAAAATGGCTTTCTCTCTTGCAGTGATACTGCTGGCAACAAGCCTTGCACAGTAGCTCCAGAGGACAGAATGTGAGCTGAGGGCAGCCATGGGAGGAAAGCTTGAGACACCTTTTTTTGTGAAGAAACATTTATTTTCTTTCCTGAGTGCTCAGGCCATTTTTCTGTTGATATCAGCTTCTCAAAATTCCATCTAAATCTTTAATCCAGAAAGTGAGTGCTCTTTCTTAGCATGTTAATATCAAGCAATGTTTAAATTTCAACTATATTGTAAGGAGGAGGCTGTCATGCATCCTTATAACAAATACACAGAATTTAAAGTAATGATCTCTGTGTTTATCTTCATCAGCCTTCTCGCCTCTGGTGCTCTGCTTAGATCAGATTATCTCATTTAAATAGCAATGGGTTATGAAAAAAAGTCTAATCTGTTCCCTCACTGTGTCACTGTGCATGCATACATTACTTTGTTTTATTTCATCCCTTAAGGCACTTGCAAGAAAACCCCCAAAGACCCTTTTAAGTCACATAAAACAAAACAAAACAAAACAAAAACAACAACAAAAAAAACACCACTGCTGGAAAATAAGAGTTGTAGGGAGTAATGCTCTATACATGAGCTTTCCGTAGATTTGAAATATAGAGAGTAATTTGATTTTTGAGTAATTGAACTGCCATTTTGGGGGGCAATAATATCTAGCTCTGCTATGCAGCAAATTTAATCCTTAGATTTAAAATTAATTTATAGGTCCATATCATTTTTATTCTACATGGCTGGTGTAACTGAGATAGAGACAAGGAAGAAATGGCTGACCAACAACCTGAGTTATTTTTCAGGTCTCAGCTCACAAGATTGTTCTCCACAGCATAGTTTCTAATTTTCCCACTCAGTTCTATCAACCACTATATTGATGCAAGTCGTCCATCAAAGAAGTTTTACCCGTAAGTGCAAGTTTGACTATTACCATCAAGCATATTTCAGAATGCCATATAGTAAAAATCAGCATACCTCCACTGAAATCAGGGAAGATAATTTATATTGAGGTATAAATTAACTTATCTAGGTGAAGTCAGTGGGCACCTTAATTGATGGCAGGATCAGGACAAAAGTACTGCTGTAGTCTACTCTTGGTGCTTAGGAATATGGGACATTTAAATTTTATCTATTAAGTCTTAAAAAAATGAACAAATTAATATAAAAGTGAGCTCCTAGTATATTTTAACTCAGTTGGCCCAGGACACTTGTCTCATTAAAAGATGATCCTCTGACAAGAAAGATGAAGATGACAGAAATTTTTTAAAATGAAAGCTTAGTGAAAAGAAATGAAGGAAAAGGTTATATATTGAAATATAAAACATGGGTGTAAGAATATCTTGTTCATCACTAAGCTGTGCTGGTCCTCCAGTGACTCAAATTTCAGGATCGCCATCTATTGCACACAGACTGCTAAAAGCAATTAAGAACTCATAAGGGCATCCTATACATAAAAAAAAAAAAAAAAAAAAAAAAAAAAAAGTCCTTTACTGTCCTTTACTTAGGTGAATAAAGAAACGACGTATGAGAAGTATGGAAGCAGGGTTGATAAACACTATGGTGGTGCAGCGGGCACCCAACATGATTATAGTTGAAGGTAATTAAAGGGAAGACTGGGTTCCTAAACTTGGTGTTATGTTTAGTTCAGCATATTTAGGCCTAACCAAGTGACTGCTTATTTGAAATATATACAAGCATTTTAATATGAAGTCCTTAACATGTCGGCTGTTTGTTACTGAAACAGCCACTTAGTATTGATTTCACAGAATGTCAGCTCCCGAGATTTACATTTTCACCTGGAATCTATTAAACAAAATGCTATCAGTTTTAATTTGAATTGTATTTTAAAATACTACTGCAGTCTGCACTCTGCTTCTGTAGTTTCTTCATTTCAAACAGCTGCTGACTCACACTGTACATAATTAATTTAAGTATCATTTGAGGTTGCTTTAATACAATTTCTTCATAAGTACACAAGTAACATACCAGATATTTAGAGTTCAGTACATTAATTACAGACAAAAGACAGTTGTCATGGTTTCTATCACAGACTGTGTGAAAGGTCAGTACATCCCCAAATTCATTATAACCTCAAAGAGTTCAGTTACCATTGGTCTCTGGTCTCAGATGAGTCTGTATTGAGTCACATGAGTTAATTCCATTTATATGATTTTATGAAGCAGGATTATCAAGTTATACCTTTTGAATTAAAAGAAAGGTTCAAAAAACAAATGAACTCAGAACACCAAACCCTTATGGTGAACAAAGCCCAGGCAGGCAGAAAAGAACCTCACAATATGTCAGCTACCAGTTGATGGACTAATTAAGCACAAGGGATATTCAAGGAGGAGAATGGGAGAAAGCAGTCCTGCTTCCTCCAACCACACTTTCTCCCCTGAATGCCATCTGAGAAGAGAGGGGATGCCCAGGGCTTGGAGCAGTGACAGCAGGGGTTATGTAAGGGTCCATCACCATGCCAACTGGAGACAAGGGCAGAAGAAATATTTCCGTTTGCTTTGGGCGTGAAGCAAGATTTCCTTTCACTTTTGGCATTTCTGCTTTGAAAGTCCTTAGGATTCTTACAGGTTCTGGATTTCATCAATGAATATTTACAATTGTCTTTAATTTAAATGTGATTTAAAGATACTTTACCAGTACAGAGGCATTCTGAGGGTATGATATTCCTTTAAGTGTGAGCACTAAACCATCCACACAATACTCACTAAGGTATTCTGGTTTTTAAACTTGCTGGCTTGGGAGTTTCTTACACTATGGCTAAGAAATGCATGCGCATGCATGTGCTTGCTGTTAGCAAAGTGAAAATTGTAATTTTTTCTCAATGCTACAGCTTAGAATATTTTTTAAAGCTATTTGCTGAAGTACAGTTTCTTATGATCTTGAAACATGCTTTCCTGGTTCAAAGACAGCAACTGGTGGTTTTTTAAATTAAAAGATGTTCTAATGAAAAGCTCCTTAGTCGCTTGTTCATGCAAATAAGTACTGTTAGTTTTGGTAATTGCTTCCTTTCTAGAAGAATTATGATACTGATACAGATTTATCAATCACAAACACTAATAGTGGAACATTTTACCTGTGCTGCAGCTCATGAATGGCAGCAGAATTATTAGTTTCCATAGCAACACCATCTCCACTTTCCAAGGTCAAAAATTCCTCCCATCCAATCAGCAGAAAGTAAAGTGTGTCTTCCTGTGACTACCTTGATATTCTGTAAAAACAGGAAGAGATATTGGGTAATTGAAGTAGAGATTCAGAACAAATGCCCCAATTTCCCTGTGTAAAATCCTGTTCTTCTGCACCACTGAAGATTCAGACACATATAACACAATAAATCAGGATCATCCCAACACAAAACTAATTCCAAAAAAGATACAAAGCTGGAAATGAGCTCCATGAAAAGCATATGTAATGTCTGAGACCCATCCATTCTCTCCTTTTGGCACAGAGAACATGAGCACAGGACCAAGCTTCTCCAAGCGAGAAAGCAAAATCTGTGCTTGGTGCATTCACCAAACACGGCTGGGTTAGGAGACAGGGTATTTGCAAGTACTCTTCTTGCCTGCTAAATGGTAGTCACACTTTATGAAGTTTCTTGCCTTATAGTAGTCTGCCTTCTAATCCAGGAGAGGATCCACTGGTGAATGTAATGTAACATAAGCAGTTACTGGTGCAGAATGGGAGCTCTCATATGGGAGGAAAAAGCAATATAATATTTTAGATGTACTGCACAAAGCCAAACAACAACAACAAAAACACTTTTTTTTTTTTTTTGTCATCAGGTTTATTCTTCAGATATAAAACATGCACCCACAAGGATTTACATAATAATTTGCTTTAATTTCCTTTGACATTTCAGTCAACATATGATGTATTAAACCAGGAAAAAAAATATGTGTTTGGCCTTAACTCCCAAAGGGTAAACTTGTAATTTACTGTTGGGAATCAGTTCATAAAAGAGCTGAAAAGAGAAATTACTTAATAAAATGGGTTTACAAAATCATAAAATCATTCTAAACCCTTTAAGTGCTAAAAAATTTCCCCTGAGAAATTGTATTTATGAGCCATGTTTAGGGATCCATAGCCTCTTCTCATTTGTCTCATTTTTCATACCAGTGTGAAAAAAATCATACAGGGTTACCCTAGAATTTAGTACTGATGTGAACGAGAAAGATAGTTTTAGCAATCAGGCAATCCTGCTCCAAGCAATATTAAATGCACCTAAAATGTACTTAGCAAATATTTATCATCCTTCAGAGATTTACAATGATACAAGACTGTCCGTAACTTCCTTGGGATCTCTGATAATGTTGTCAGTTTAAAAACTATTCCTAGCTTTTTTATTTGTCTATTATCAATAGACACGGATTTCTCTCTATAGCTTTTGCATGTTTGGGAAGTATTATTTTGTCTTATCTTAGAGGATTCCTACTTTGTTTATCCTAAATCATTATTTTACCTTGTCTATTCTGGATTATTTCAGCATAGCAGGCACTTTTCTTTAAGCACACTGCCCAGAGCTGGGCACAGTCGCTCACCTGAGGAACCAGTGCCAAACAGCCGTTTGCTATTTTCACATCCCCAAATGAAGATTGCTCTTTAAAAAAACAAACAAACAAACAAACAAAAAAAAAAAAACCCACTTGCATTCAGTTCAGGCTCCACTCTAACTCCTTCTTTAAACCTTCTGCCTAAACTGAACGTGTGCATCGATTATTTCTACCTAAGTGTGAAACCTTGTACTTTTCCTTATTGAATTGGATCATATTTATTTCACACACTTTCTTCTGTTTGTCAATATTTGTCTCAAAGCTGGTGTACACATCACAGATATTTAAGACAAAAAAAAAATCTTATCTTTTTTTACTTGTCCTTCCTAAACAGAATGTACCCTTCCAGATCAATACTGCAGACATGGCAATTGTTATCTGGTTTTGTTTGTCAGTTAAGGGAGAGTTTTTCTTATTTGCTAAGGTTTCATGTTAGTTCCTCCCATGTCTTATATTAATGTTGTGACTTTGACTTTTCCTTAGGTCCCTGCCTTCCTGTTTCCCAGTTTTATCCTTTTTCTAATTCTGGGTTCACAGGAGGGATCTGTTGTCTGCAGGAAGGTTCCTCAAATGACCATGACCTGTGTGTCCAGCAGCACCTCTGGGAGAGGAGGCTCTAAGTGCCCATTTACTGACAGAGCACCTTGTTGGATGTGAATGGGCTCTCAGCATCAGCAGATAAGAAGCAGTATTTGTCAATGCTTTACTCTTGTTTTGCTGAAGTTATTGCAATGAATTTTGCACATTCCCATGAGCTGTGTTTCCTTGGCGTTTCTATTTGCATTCATCTCCTGTGCTGCATGTTTTTCTCTTGTTGTTTTCCTGGATATGGGCAGCGAGCATTTCCCAGTGCTTCCCACTCTGCTCCCACCCAACTTCCTTTCCTCAGGTTTTCGCAAACACATTCTGTTTCTGGTCATTAAGTATTTACCATGCAAGTTATTTTGCACACACCTGCTGAAATCCCTTTTAAAGGTGCAACTGTTGCCAAAGGCACTAATTATGGCTCAAAAGAAATAGAACTTAAACACTCCAATATTACTCATGTGCTTTCCAGGGGGGAATATTTTGAGTCACAGAAAATCACCAATACAACCCAATTAACTGATCACATGCCTCCTCTTCCAAGATACTCGCCCTTTCCTACAAGGACAATTCCTTCCAAAAAAATAAATCTGTTTACTCGTCCCCTCTTTCAATTATATGTAAGTCTTTTGAAACCAAGAAGCAAATACCTCCTGCTGACAGTATCCAGAATATATTTCCGAAACTATTCATATTTCTGTAGGCTATTGATTAATCTCCAGAACTGTAGCTCCTTTTGAGGCTGCAAATCTGGGGCATTACTGCAGATATACATATATATATATATGTATGTATATATATATACATTTCCTGTAAGTAACCCAACTGTTTTACTTATTTCACTGACAAACACAAGGACCTAACTGGCAAGCAGGCACTTAATAATTTTTACAACGTCTTTCCAACAGCAGCTTCCATGGGATTATTTACTGTCAAACTAAATCAAGAATAAATGAAAAAAATGAAATATTTATGACATAAGAAAAATCTGGTTCAGACTAGAAACCCCAAACTGGCATTAAATCAAGAAATGTAACAAGATAAATCGTGCCATCATACTCTTTGTTTTCTGGATGTAACACTATCACTTATTATAATTGTTATGTCACAGTTTGAACCATCGGTCTAGATAGATAGATGGAAAACAAAGTATGTTAAATATGATCATGGGGGAAACATTACATTTTCCCCTAAAAATACTGATTGCACATCCATTTGTCAACAGGGTGTAATTTATACAAATATATTTGTTACAGAAGTAGTCAGCATCATTATTTTTTATTTTTTATTTTATTTTTTCCATGAGAGAAAACAAGTCACTAGGAAAGGACTCAATCCACAGATGTTTTTTAGCTGCCACTTTTTCTTTTCATGTGTCAGAGAAGGAAACCTATATAATGCTGAGACTTCCAAACATGATGTGTGGGACATACAGGTGCAAACCTGAGATGAACAGACAGAAATTCTGCAGTGGAAATAAAGTGGCTGCTATGAGTTTGCAGGAAACCCACTGGCCAACTATGGCACTGCCTGGCCAAGCCGTGCATCACCTGCTTCCCATTGCAAATGCTGCAGGTAATGTTACTGGAGAGAAAAGGTACAAAATCATTTCTTTCATCACAACATTTATTTTGGGATATCGGGAATATTGATAATTTGAATCTAAACATGGTATTTGGGCAGGAGATATAAACATGAGATAAATAACTTTTTTTCTTTTTTTTTTTTCACTGCACTGCATTTTGCATTGCACTTAACACATAGAGGGAAAGCTATTTTAGCGTATGTCCTAATTCTCCTAATTCCTAAGCTTGCAATTATACAATTATACCGCTTTTTTTTTTTTTTTCTTCTTTTTTTCTCCTGAAAATTAGATCTGGAAGTAATAAGATATAGATTCATTTATTAATGAAAGTGGTCTGGCATATATTTAATGAAGTAACATAAATACTAATATTTTGTTCATTAGTTCATAGTTTGAACAGAGGTTTAAAGTATTGTATTGTCTTGGTTTCAGGTTTTGAGACCTATACTTTCTTCTACTGCTTATTTTTTTGAGTAACAAAACATTTACAAGATCAAGTCTTTGACAAAGAATAAAATGCAATTCTAGTGTCATCTGAGCTTTCATGAAAATATGCAACATTTCACATTTCTGCCACAACTGTCTGTTATCATTGTAAAAGCAAAAAGGAGTCAGTTCAGGTGGCAAACTGACATCTTTCCAAGGTAAAAGTTGTCAGGCAGTGGGAATGATGAGATTTTGCTCTTAGCTAAATTCAAGCAAATTGACATTTTTACCCATGGCAAAATGTAGCTATGTTTGCAGAAGGAGTAACTTTTTGACCTGGTGAAAGAAGCAGTGGCTAACAACAGGGATTTGGGGGCAAAATTCCACAGTGATGCTGGCAGAGGAGCTTCAATCCGGAACCCGTATATTGGTGTAACTACCTATAGAAAGAGATCTGTGGAACGCATGTAGGAGGAAAAGGATAAAAATGTGGAGATAAGAGGCTATAATCCAGGGAGTGCATGCATAGCCTTTTTATTCTGCAGCCTCAGCTTTCCCTCCCACCAGCTTCCACACATCTATATTTTCTTTTGAATTTGGCCTTACATACTTTTGTATTCTTCGTCTGCCAGGAAATAAGCTGAGTCTGTCCCAGCCAGGCTTGCATTCTTGGCACACCATAGCTCCTGATCTCTATATTGTCTCCTGAGCACCTGATTTGAAGGCATCTAATGTGAATTTTCTCATGAATGCCAATGATATACAGCTACATTTTTCTTTTCAAACTTTTTATCCCTGAGGCGCTTTCTGCACTCAAACTATTTTCCAGATATCCATAACAGACTGAATAGCAAATACTTGTAACTACCAGAGCAGAAGCAGAAAAGACCAGCTTTACAGGTTCCAGCAAGATTTACCTATGCTGTTGTAGTACTTACTGCTTATTTAAAATTATTGAACCATATTTCAAAGGAGAAAAGTACCTGACTTATTTAACTAAGGCGTCTGATACTTATTGCTTATTACTTATTACTTATTACTCTTATATTCCCTTTTTCACAAAAG